CACACATGCGCACATATCTTCTCGTTCATTTGTAGAGCTTGGGCCGCCAGTAGTGGCACTTCACAGAGCTGTACGTCTTCTGACGACCGATATGGTCACTGAGTGGAGTGTCGTGGGCTTGATAAATGATACGATTGCTCAAATCCACATCGTGGGGAACCTTATTTCATGGCGCAACCGTGCGCGCAATCGCGCCGACAATTTCTTGACCGAGTATCCAGACACCTTGCTCCCGAGAGCCTGTCGCAGCGCTACACACAAACCATCACCCGCGTATGCGGCACGGATTAAATCCGCCACTGACGACGTCACCGTCGTAACCATAACCCGGTCTACGTGACAACGCATCAGCCAAAGCATTTTGCTTTTCAGGCTTATACTTCACCTCGAAGTTATCTTCCGCGAAGAATGAGAGCCACGTGGTCATCGTATGCGAGAGGTGAGGCGACTGAGTCGCAGTGCGTAATGACGCATAATCTGTGTAGCTTACGAACGGCTTTGAGCCAAGCAGGTGTACCCTGAAGTTGACAAGTGCATACTTGATCGCAAGAATTTCCTTGTAGTGGATTGGGTAGTTGTCCGCAGCCTTAAACCGGCGAGATTCGAACGCGATAACCCGATCTCGCCCCTCGGCGTCTGCTTGCAGCGGTGCGGATGTCAAAGTCCGACGCATCACGGGCGACAATAAAAGAACGATCGGTGTCTGGTAATGCCAGTATTGGTGCACAAAAGAGATTGTCGGTGACCCTGTCAAAAGACTCCCGATGCCCGGTGTTCCAACACCAGTCTGTATCCTTATTAAGGAGATTTGACAATGGCCGTGCCATTCCCGCATTATTTGCGCTATACTTGTGCAAGTAGTTGGCGAGACCAAACCACTTGCGCAAGTCCGTTTTATTTTCTTCGGAACCGGTCAGTCCACAACGGCCTTGACCTTAGCGGGATCCGCTTGAAGGCCACGCTTTCCAGTGAAGTACCCTAAAAGGTAATATATCCGGCGCTGAAGATGCACTTGTCTGCATTAGCATACAGCTTATTCATGCGTAAGCACTAAAGAACCGCTCTTAAATGGACGAGGTGGTTCTCTTCATCCGTCCTCTCGTACCCCGCACGACTGTGGACGAAGATGTCGTCGAAGTATGTCTGTGCGTATGCTCAATGAGCCCTGAACACTGCGGCACAAGACGATTAAATACTGCTGGAGCGTCTGACCGCCTTTAAGGCAACACCAGCTACCCCCAGAGCATCCTTCATGGAGTAGTCACTGTAACTGGGTTACACATCACCTGGTAATAGGTGTGTGTGTCACACCAGATGTGCATCGTGTGACCACATCCAAATTAGAATACGGTACGGGGCTGGATAGCCAGTAGTTATACATGTATTAAGAATTTACTAAACATATTTAGGAAAATCTATGCATTTAAAATTAGGCCGCTGAATTTAAACGGAAGAGTAAATTAGCCTTGAATTAAGGTTGTAATTACTCTTGGAGTAGGCGGATTGCGATCCGCTAAACTTATACTTGTTCTAAGTATAGAACGAAAGGTCGGTGACCTAACTTACGCTTCCTCCAAGCGCAAAGCTATGGCAGCACCGCTGCAGTCACAGCTGTTAGCAGAATATCACTGAGCAATTGGTAACACCTCTCGACCAAGTCGAGTGCGCTGTACTTTGTACCGCCAACCATAATGTTCCGGACAACATCCTCCCTAGGATTCGGCGTCTGTGGCGGAACGGTGGTAGCGTTGAGCTTATTGTTAGCGTGAACGATACGCCACTTGCCTTTCGGCTTCCTGACACAGAGCGTGGGTGTCGAACGGGAGACTTGCTCGCACGCACCATTCCTGCATCGTGCTTCGCACGGAAAAGACGTCAATGACGTCACACTGCTTGTTCGTCAGGCGTGTTACGCAGTATTTGGCTCCCGGAACTAGGTCAATCTTATGACGCACACCTCAGTCCGGAGGTAGGACCGACGGCGAGTCTTTAGACACGACGTCTCGGAATTCCTTAACCTAAGGAAAATACGGACAAGGGATCCTTGAGAATCGAAGATCCACTTTGTGCGCTCAGCACCCTCTTAGTGTCCTCCAGGACAGCTTTATTTAGAAGCGACGACGCGTGAATCTCCTCGGTCGGTCGTTGGAAATATTGTCTTATCGATTGATGAAGGACGTGGAAGATCCGACTCGGATAAAGAAAACGATGCAACAGCGCGTACTCTTTAAACTCGAGACCGCGAGCAAGAATGGACACCAAAACAATAGCGGTCCCCTTATAAATGAAGCTTTTTCACGCTTTTGAACGACATCACTTGTCGCTTTTGCACTCCAAGGTTTACCCAATGCACTCAGCAGCATTGCTACTTTCCAATTTGGACGATATCACGACCTGCACCGAAAAAAATGCAGACATAGCTACTTAGAGCACTTCTGCTTTCTAGCAAAAACGTTTTAAGACTCGATTATGCTCTGCTTCACCTCTGCACGGTCTGCGACACTAGGGCTGAGATTTCGCCGCATATCTTATAACGACTCAACACAAATGATTTGCACCTAATTTCGCAAGTCGAGCCCGCCCGTCTGCAAGCACAAATGTCCCAACGGCTTTTGCGTAGAGTATTGCTGGATTCAATGCAATGTGCGTTGCACCAAGCCACTGTGCGTCCTTACAGCAGGTCTCTCGCTCAAACCAAAAGCAAAACAATACCTTTAATGATGCTTTTCGAGCCCTCTTTGATCCGCTGCCTCACATATCGATTTTAAACAGTCATACCGCTGCTGACAAAAATGGCAAAACATACATGGCAAAGTTTGCGACTATGTGAAGGCACGTCATTTTACCGATAAACGAATTTATGAGCCGGCTATTGCGGAGCATTTTACACATTTCTTTACAACGTACATTATCCGACGTTGGCGACAAGGTGAGCGCTAGAATTCTTTAGCGCTTGATGTGGACAGCTTGGCATACCCATCTCTGTGAGATAGGTGATAAATCTATCGGCCGATTCTCAAATTTAAAACATGGCTGAATTCCTTTTGCTATTGTAAAACTAATTGCAGTATACAGTTGAGTCTTTTCCCAGGAAATTAAGGATAGATGGTGTGACAGGTCACGAGAAACAACAGCGCGAGAACAATTTTGCCGAATCAAGATCTGGGTTTAAGGGTGTCACATCAGCATAATTTGATAATGGGTACAGTCATGGTGAATCTGCCGGCCCGAACTCGATACCACACGGAGGTTGGCCAACTTTTACCGGCAAATGGATTATATCCTAGGCTGAAACTATCGAGCTTTCTCGGAATGGCGCAACCAAACCGATTGGTATAAAGAGATTCAACACCGGATCGTGCTCAGTGTAGAAGGACTTTGCGCTGTGCGGATGCTTGAGGCGTTTGTCTTTCTTGAAAAGGACGCTTTGCGTTTGGCTTGCGAGCTTGGATTTGTGGTACGGTTGCTTAAGCAATCACGATACGTCCGCATCCCTTGGGGCATCGGGAGTAGACTTAACTTTAAGCCACGACAACTTAACGGTCTATAGTAGTGAGATCGCAGCTTAAGCTTCCACCTTGCAGACAGAATTTTCACCATTGTATGGAATCCGTCTTCATGTTGCAATTTATACTTCCTGGCCCCCAATCATAGCGTCATTGACTTTGCGCATAACACTCAATTTAATTGAGATAAAAATCAAAATTAGCAAGAAATATAACCTGGATGGTGTCAGTAACATCGACGAACCCCATTAATACCAAATTCATGCAGAGATAGCGACAAGGACAAGCTAGAGTTACTAACATTCGTAAAATGGTATGAAGGCAGTATAGGAGTAAACCAAATTTTAATGCAAAACAATTAGAAAAGACATTATGCTCTAGCACCGCAGTCACGCTGCGGAAATCATTTTGTGTCATCATGTGACTAGGGATTGTTCGCGGTGAAGATGTCCAATTTGGCTGTGCCAAAGTTTTAAGTAAACGCCAATGTCAATCCAAGAAAATGACTACCGGCAAGCCATGTGTTGGCGATAAAGTTTGTACAGAAATAATATGACTGTATTATCGTTGACAGCGGTGTTGCTTACTGCAGTGTGATGAGCCATATATCAGACGAGCTTGAACAGCATCTACAACCTTATTCAACATTAGACTGGCAAAGGGCTCAGACAAATGTGATAAGTGATTTACGCATGGCTTGTTCGCGCACATGAGGGATTACCGATTAGAGCTCGCGATACCGTATGTCTGATCTCTTTCTAGATTCCCACACAAGTAAGCATTTGGTGTCTATTATTATATTTATACCCGTGGTCCTCATCTGGGTACCACCACAAGGCGAAATTTGACGGGGTCAATCTGAAATACAGCAAGCTTTTAAATATAAATGAGCAATGCAGACGTGTAGCGACATCTTGCATTCCAAAGCTTTCAACAAAGCAGCATATTTTACATTCGAACATTGATGTGTTGCCTTATCTATGCGTATCCGTCAGTCAGCAGGCCAATCAAGATTTTTTTTAGTTAGCTGCTCTTGATCTCATATATGGGTGAAGCGTACAAGTCCAACCTCTGTGCCTTTGTAAACGCGAGTAACACGAGTCGCAGCTTCATTCTTGTTAAGTGCACGGCTACCCCGTTGCACTAGATAGCACTTGGTAGTCTTCTTGGATCGCCTGAGCAAAAACAACATCGTTAGTGGTGAGGACATAGCCAAAACGTTCCTCGCCTAAGTTTTTCATTATCATGGCTTGCTAGTGGCGATTGTGTCAAGAACCGAGATCGGCGCACAACAACAAAGATTGGCAAGCGTTCTGTATTATACGAAACATTAGATTGGACATAACCGCCGCTAAACTTTTGCAAAAAGCGGGTCGAATGGAACGCCTTTATTGCGTGCTCAAACGGCTGAGGTATTCAAAGAAATGCATGCCACGTAGTACTTTATCTTGTTTTTCTATCAATCGTTTGGTCAAGCATACGCGCATCCAAAATTTTGCCCATTAAATCCCCATAGAATAGAGCAAAGTGGTCATTTTAAATCCATTCTATGTAAGGGTAATACGGTGATCTTTGATGGAAATGATCGAAGTGACGCTTCGGACTCTGACCGAACGACTCTGCTCTCACCTAGAGACATACGGCAGAGTTGTTCGCTGAGTATGCGGTGCTCTCTACATTTTACCACTTCTCTGAATGAATTATGTACTCTTAACCATTCCTAACGGCAGAATTGTTGCCACACCCTATCAGGACCTAACGATGACACTCAGCCGGGCACCAGCGCGTCACGGACCTTACTTACTTTGCCCGACACCAAGCACTAGAGTATCAACAAAATACGCTGACTCAATCAGGTCGTGATTATAATTTATATTCTAACATTACTCGCCACATCATTGCGGAGCCCGCGTACAGCTATATGTGTGGGCCTTCCGCTCACAAAAGAGAGCGAACGAGTGCCGGGATAGTAGATTCATGAATGCTCTTCGGACTATCTGTCAAAGCTCTACGGAAGACTGGGCTGCTCTTAGACCAGGAGCGTCCGAGTAAATTCGTTTTTTGCTAAAACTGTATATCTGGTCCTAAATGCTAGCGAAGCCAAAGAGAACCGCACTCAGCTCGCGCAATTCTATATAAAACTTCGTCGTCTCACCTCATTTCATTATAGCTTTAAAACGCATCTCCATTGAAACATACGTTTCGCAACGGGGCTGTCGTAGCTCTTTTGCTAAGAGAAAGCCTGGTTAAGATCAGTGACCTTCGTTCTGTACTTAGAACCAGAACGAGTGTAGTGAATTGCAATCCACCTACTCCAAGAGTAAATACAACCTTAACCTAGGCTATAGCTAAATCTATAGGTTTTCTTATCTGTATAGTATAACCTATTTTTGTATAACTACTGGCAGTCCAGCAACGTACTGACTTCTTTTTTGTAAGTGTAGCCACAAGATTGTGTGATCACACAAGTTTGTGTGACCCTCGCCCTTCATACCACAGCACGTTAGACCCCGTTACACTATCGTCTAGTTCGTCTTAATGCTTGCCTCTGCGAAGTAGAGAGCACGAAGTGATGTCGAGCTGAGATCGTGACGTCAACGTTTTGTGCTAACAGCCACACTCATCTAGATGATACAGCAGGTAGATCTGCCAGCTTAGTCTTTCACTTATTTTAAAGCCATACCCTACTTTTAGTAAGAAGCTGCGATGGGCGATTTTGTCGCTTCTCCCGTGGAGATTCCAATAAAGGAGTGGTCACGCCGCCAGGAATATCTCACCGAAGTGATACCTCAAACTCCCTTGAGGATTTGAAATGTGGATATCCCGCCTACTTCATCAGATTCTGGTAACAGTTCTGGTGTTCACATCGACCACTTACCGTTCTATGAGGAATTGTACCCCGTCTTCATCGCGGAAGGCCGGCGGAGGACGGTCCTTCCAAGCTAGTTATTGCGAACTCTCTCGGTTTCGGCGGCACGACAGCTCACTCCAAGCCTCTTGGCGTGCGTCGAATTCCAAGATGAGCCAATTTTTGAATGCGCCATCAAAGAGGGGTCATCGCACAGCTCAATTTGTATCGCTGTCCTAAAACAGCAAGTAGTATAGTTACAGAGAATTACAGTGACACTGATTCGTATCTGACGTAGCTCGTCACATCCGACTGGCATGAGAACGGAATCATAGCAATGAGAAAAATTTGTCAGCGTAAGAAAGTAGAATGTTTTTGCATTTCCATCGGGATGACAAGGGTGCATCTCAGTTTTCTTTAGCTATGACGGTGCGAAAAGGGACATGAGTCTCACTAAGACATGGGTCTCACTAAGACATGGGTTTGCTTGCTTTTCGGCTCTGGTATACCCACAAGAATATAATACACTCCAGATCCATCATCAAGTTAATTGTCGCGATAAATTAAAGCTTCAATCATCGTCGTTTTTATGCTTTGCTTAAGTTTCTTGACGTCTTCCGTGCCAGACTCCCGCCATGCGTCGCCCTTCTTGACGAAATATAGATCGATTGTCTACAAATTAATCTGCTTCTTCGCCTGTATCGCGTCCTTTAGTTCCTCAACCAATTTTCTTGCGTCGATAGCCACAAAGAACGCGCTCCCTGATTCTCCAAGCGCACAGAAGTGCTTAACCATTTTAGATTGCAATATTTCCCCTCCTAGGGTTCAATGACTTAACAGAGGTTTTAAAACTGATAATGAGATAATTACGGTATAATTGATGCTGTAACGGCGTACAAAATTGGCACTCCATTGTTCAAACGCTCATCGGATTACAGAAGGCTAACACTGATGAAAAGGATGGATATTCGTAAAGGAGAGGTTCGCGGGGCACATGCACTGCAAATTACATGCCACGCAGTACAATTAGTAAATATTTTTTCATTGAGCAATGATATATTTAGTACTAGCATACCAAATTTGTTATGTATGTCGCTTTGAACGATAAGAGCAGAACTGCAAATGGGGGTGACGTTTAGCTTCCACATAGGAAGCTTTGACGTGACGAATCCGCATTAACAACGCAGACAAGCTGTATTTGTGCGGTACACGCAGATCAGAACTGAGAGTATTTAAATAACTTGGTCGTATCTGATTGTTATATAACGAATTTTGCCGATTAGAGTCCAGTCCCGAATAGAGCCTATACAAATACAATATCCACTATCTCGGTACGATGACCTCAAATGATCTGACAAAAAAATCAAGATGAATAGTGATGACGATTGCCAAAAAAAATTCTTCTATTCCTTTCGTCATCGATTTGCTCAGTCTTGCTCTGGGCGGTGCCGTAGTCAGAAAGTGACGGCGACCACGAGCGGATATTATGGCAGCTTAAGCACAGCGTCTGCGTCTATCCGGTGGTGGTCGCAATTCCGTATTCAAAATAATGGTAGATTCAATTAACAATCAAATTATAAGCAAGCACATCAAGCAAGAAAAGTGACCAAAATGTGGATCTTTGACACTATTTATGCATCACTACAAGAAGACAGTTGTCCCGCAAGATACAGCACTGGTTTTCATGGCATTCTACGGCCTCTCACTACTTCGTCGCACCAACTTGGCAATTCTGAACGACGAAGTCGACGTCGAACGAGCAGTCAGAAATATTCTGTGCGTGCGCGATCACTGTACCAAACGAATATTAAGCCCCAGCGAATTATTTACGTGTTCTGTATGTCAAAGTCAGTAAGACAAAATCATTGAGGAGCTCAATCGTGCCAAGGAGACGTCAGTACGCAAGAAAGTGACCAAGTAGTGAGGATACGCTTAAGTCATAATACCGAAGAGGCCAAAATATTAACCTTTTTATGTTGAAGGTTATAGTATGACAGAGGACGATTTTGACACACCTCACATTTATTTGAAAATGCCCGAGGATTTAAGTACGCACACCTACGTATGCGACCGCAAAAAACAGTTTTCTAATCTCAACAAAGTTTTTTCGTGTCTTCGACTTGGTTTATGGCAATGATGCAGAGAAGGCGGCAGCAACAAAAAAATGGAAACGATATCAGCAAGAAAACATAATTATCAATGCAACGAATGATGGAAAGAAGGCAGATGAAGAGCGACGTATGGCTCGATAGATTGTCAAACAGCAACTACTAGCAGACGAGCGACGACATCTCCAGCAAAAAGAAGACTCGCGATTTGGGGCAGATCGAAAGCGTCAGATCCCACAGCCTATGAAGGTAGCACTGGAAGAACATGATGAAACTGATGTGTCCAAGTTAAGCACAACAATCACAGCAATTCCAATCATTCAAGCTGTTACAGCAAAAATTATGAAAGGCTTTCAGCCTGGTGTGATTGGCGGCCCGCAATTCGTTTTTGTACTTGCAGGCACGCGTGGACCAATTTTTTGTATCAACGAGTCGAAAAAACTCAGTCGTCAATAGCAGGTCGCGGGTGATAAGATCCAGATCTACAGTAATCGTGTAAAGGCATGGTATGGCATTAAGTCTAAATCATTGATATAATTAGCGAAAGCAATTGTGTGATATCGATGAAAATTCATCAGAAACGCATAATTTGTCAGCATGTTGAACGAAAAGGCTCGAAAATGATTCTGCCACGAGTCATTTCGTAGGAAATAATCGCACCTATCCATAACCATAAGTTTTTGCTGACCGTTAATTTACTTTTGGCCTTAAGTTTTCTGAGGTGATTTTTAACCGTCTAAATACGCGACACCGGCCATTTGCAAGATTGATGTTTCGTCGCACAACGCCCTTGTGGTTATTCATCACGCCCACGTGGTCTTTCATCACGTCTTGAGCTTTGCATCAGGAAAATACAAACTCCATTCTCCAGAGTAATATATAGTCTAAGGTAATTTGCGTCCGCATGAGCCACAGTTGTCTTGCCGATGCCTTCCTCGCCGCAACCAAGAAACTTTCTTCCTGTAATCTTATGTATTGTGTTGCGAAAAACCCATCGCCTCAGACATATTGTGAGAATTCTCTATCATGACTAGCTCCTCTCTATGATCAGCAACTTTCGGAATTTTTTCCGACTGCGTATCGTTTTACCTCACCCGATTCATTTTTGTTGTCCCTGACTTGTAACTCTTAGGTGTTAATTAAATGGGCTGCCCACAAATCATATTGAGATGACCACCAATATTATCGATTTTGAGCTCCTGCTCCAGATTTTGCGCGTTGCAGCTGCCCCATTGTGAAGACAACGCGACAGAAGAGAATGTGCTGTCACTTCTGGGGCCAAAATTTTCGGCTGCAAATATTTGAAATAACGATGGCGAGACGTCACCAATGTGACAGGCGACCTTTCATAGTCTGTGCGACGCGAAAGTGGATCCGCTGCGCATAAAGCTACACATGTATACTTTACCGCGAGCGCATATACGGCAAACATTGTTGGCCAGCTTGCAATTCTCTGCGATGGTCGTTGGACGATGAGCTGTCGGCATTGAGGCATGATCGTTTAACACCACAAATGTAATAGATCTAAGCAGGTGGACCTGAACTTGACACGAACATACTTCATCGCACGAAGTTTCTCGTCATAAACTCGATTGTTTTTACTGCCACATTAAGCTGGAAAGATTCAGGCACAAAGACGCATTAATACTAAATGGCATCTGACCAGAGCTTGCACGGTCTGCGGCATTTGCTGAAGCTCATTCATTGTCTTATTCGGAATAAGAAGATCCATAAGCGAGACACGCATGATTTTCATCAGTTGCACCCAGCACCATTTTACATTCGTTGTTTTAGAGAAGGGCCCAGCAATGTTGGCGAACTTCGCACAAAATCTATGCAACGGTATGGCCAGGCCATGCTATTCAATGAATATGCCAGAAAGAGAGTTTTTTCTTGCCAAAGCGACTTACGCTTTGTTGGCAACGGCTTACCCAAGTGCATATACTTGTTTATAGCGCGCAAGTGATTGATGTGGGTGTCTACAGCTTATTTTCTATGCTCTGTACTACTATATGATATATCGACAAAACGGTTGCGCGATTGTCGTGTATTTTGCATAGATGCACAAGAAGCTTTGTATTAAAGATTCTGCGGTAACGGACGCATAAAATTTGGCTTCATGCGCTCCTACCAGGAGCGGAGCCGAGAGTCTCAAAATTAACCAACACTGTAAGTTTGCTCTGACATTTTAGGAGTACATCTATCAAATATAAATAACATTCTATTTTGATTCATACTATATAAGCGATATGACATGATAATTTTTAAAGCGTATTTTTCTTCTGACGTGCGGCTAGCATCTCATGTGTACCGCTGGCATCTTCATTCCAGAGCTTCGCATTCTATATGAACTATCAATACCCCGGTTCTTTCAAAAATTTTGGAGTACAGTAAGTGAATTGTTGATTTCGTAAAATCTCAGCTTATTGTGTTCGCTACGATTGTACCAACGATTAAGTATATTAGAGATCAATACTTGCCTCGCTCCACCCACTCCTCCAAGACGTGGAAAACACTGGGGGTTCATGTTTAATTGCTATTTTAAGACACTGCTCAAAAGTGACTACCTCGCGAGCAACTACAGCGCCTAAATTTCCACTCCATTCTCTGCGCTATACCATGCCTGCTCCTCGGAAATAAGGCGCCAGAAGGTTCCTTCCTTGCGCCAAATAAATTAATAATCGAGCCTCTACTAAAAACGCGGTCTTCGCGACCGACACGCTGAAAGAAACCTTTGATGGATATGCCGAGGTATTTTTCAATGGGAACGGTACCAGAACCTCCAATATCTAATCAGAAACTCACGTCTGCACCGACGATACACGACCCAGCTGCTACTCCAAAAAGAAGGCATTCATGCGCTCAACCTATTAGCTGCAAGAGAAGATCACCCTTTTTCATCGGCAAAAAGTATTGCGAGACACCGATTTGAAACTCTCGACAATGTAAACGTCGTTACCTACAAGCCGAACCTGCCCCATGAGGCTCAGCTTACTCTACTGCAAGCGTAAGAGTTATACAAGCTCTTACCAGGATTACCACGCCCTGATTACAGTTTCGTTTGTCTAGCGCCACTCGCAAAGCTGGTGCAGAGCTCCTATACGGCTATATGTGTATATGTGTGGGTCTTCTGGTCGCACCAAGAGCAGAACCAGCAAGAGAAATTTGCTCCGCGAGTACTATCCCGATCCATAGTTCATTACTCCCTAACATTACTGCTGTGCGCTTAGAGCAGCAGCTGTTGGGATGCCTGCCCCTGGTATGAAAGTGTGAGTCACACAAGATGGTGTGACCGTAGCGAGGTGTGGATTACACAAGATGGTGTTATCACACAATGGTGTAACAAAAAGTAACTACGTGGCGGAACTGACAGTAGTTATGCATATTAATTAGATTTTACGATATGAATTACTACTATTTTATTCAGGAAAATTTTATGTTTTAGATATAGGCGGCTTTGCCGCAAATAAAACAGATAAATACAGTTTCACTATCAAACGGAAGAGTATATTTGCCTTAGATCAAGGTTGTGGTAACTCTTGGAGGTAGCGGAATTTGATCTGCTACACTCATACATAGAATGTAAGGTCGGTTACCTTAGCTCAGCTTCCTCTAAGCAAAGAGCTGTGGTTGCCCCGCTGCACTTGGTAGCGCTTGTGTTCAATCTACACCTGACTGATCCTCTGTGAGGATGGGGCAATTCTTCTAGTTGCCTCACGCATGCAGGACGGGCTAAAAAGCTGATGTCCCTGCTTGGCCTTGAGGGCGGCAACATCTCGTTTTTCAAGGTCCTGAAGCGATCAGCGCACGGCTAGAGGCGTTTTCAAGTTATGAAAATGCTCTGCATAAGCTCCACAGTAGAAGATGTCGGCTTAGACTGCGTCTATGACGCCACCATCGACGACGGATGACTCCTCCTGACCCAGGCCGCTCATGGTGACCTTCGAGGGTAAGGAACGAGAGAATGTCCGGCTACGGGTGAGAGAGGTTGTGATGGCTATGGCATCCGCTATGCTCCAGAATAAGCGACAGCACGTGGCGCTAGCTATCACCAAGCTCGGTTGCAGCGGGGTTGCCGTGCCTCTTTGCATAGAGGACGCTAAGCTAAGCTTACCAACTTTACGTAGACACAGAGCTCGCGGGAGTGTTAGGGGTTCACTCATACGTCGCAGGGCGTTCTATACCAGAACCAGTACGAGTGTAGCGGATCGCAATCCGCTACTTTCAAGAGTACTTTAAAACCTTATTAACCAAGGCAAAGACGCTATTTCGCCCAAATGAGACTGTATTTTATTGTTTTATTTGCGGTAGAGCCGCTTATATCTAAACCTTAGCTTTTTTAGTATAAATAACAAAAGCTAATATAAATGGATAATTACTGGTAATTACACTTTTGTACGGTTACACCATCGTATGTTACCCAACCTTTCATACAAGGGAACGTATAACCCCCCTTACATCAGTGTTCGAGAGTGAGAATGGGCACTGACGTGCGGCTCTACGGTTGAAGCGGCATCTTCCTCCTGGACAGAGCTGAAGCTGCTATCGTATCGAGCGTTCTCGCCGCCTAACCAGGCAGATCGCGTGCGATCGCGTTTTCTTGCCGCCCGACAGGGCAAGAAGAAGTTGGTGGACTTTGTCCAGGAGTTGCGTTCTCTCATTGCTGGTATGGCTGCCGATCCTCATCCCAAATCGATCGAAGCGACCGTCTATCTTCCATGGTCATCCATCTTCTTTTGAAGAAGCAGTGAATGTGGCATTGGATGCCGACTTCAGTTTTAAGTCGGCACGACTTGGTTGGAATGCGCACTCTTGAAGCTCGTCGAGCGGGTCTGAGCGTATGGGATTTAGCTATACTGAGAAAGTGGAGGGAGGGCTCCGAGCTGCCGAGCAGCGTTTGAACACCCGACGGTTATTTGTCTGCGGAGATATCCGTCACCATCGGACTTGTTGTCCCCTGCGCGAGGCGGGTCAAGGTTCATCAAACCGGCGTCCCGCTTCTCACCAGTTTCCTGGCTTGTTGCAGGGAAACGACAACATCCAGTAGGTGCGGGGTGCCCTACTGGGGAAGAACTGAGTCTGTTGGGCCTCAAAGAGGTATAGGGCAGCAGGGATCAGCCCCGAAGTGTTTCGTACTTTTATACACGAAACGTGTAGGTATACAGGTTTGCCGGTGGTAAAAGCGACCGCGAAGGTCGTTGAGAAGCCATTAGAAATCCTTATCAGCTCTAGGGCGTCATGCAATTATCCACGATCGAAGAAAGTCAGCTTCTGTTGAAGTAACACCGTCACTGTCTGCTTAGCGACGGGGACTTGTGTCTCTGTGTCGAGGGACCACATAGACCTCGGTGTCAAGTTTCTTGACTTCAATAGCGTGAAACGCTGGTAAGTCTTAGACCTGGATTCAGGGTATGAGCTTATGCTTGGTATGGCATGGCTGGAACACCGTGAGCCAT